GAAGACGTAACGAATAAAATGATTTATTATGCAGATATTTTAGGAATTCAGAAAGTAAAACATATTGTATCAAATATCAATGCAAATCAATGCAAATTTATGTGACATAAGATTTATCAGCAAAGAAAAAGTTGATAGATAATTAAAAAGATCAACAGAGACAAGCCTGTAAATTTTTCTTTCTCTATTTAACATAGGTATTCATAATTCCAACAAAATAATTATGACCGACCTTCACTATTTTCTATAGAACAATATTCATTCAAATTAATAAACCAATTGATATATGTATAGTTTTGCTAAGAATTTATCTCCTTATACTAAATACTTCTCGAAACATCACTCTTTCAACGATCACCATTTTGTACACTATTTTTTTTATGTTATTTGTTTTGCTGAGAAGTATGATTTAATTCACAAATATTAAAGTTAAATTTAAATTGTATACTTTGAATATTTATATTTTTTTTATTTCGAATTCATTGAAATCCCGATAAAAATATATGGGGGCCATTATACATATACGGGAAAAGGAAGGAATGTCAATTTTTAGCAAACGAAAATTTATTTTTCAATATATATAATGTTCTTAATAACTTCAGTTATAGTTTCTCGTAAATCAAAATAAATAAAATTCGGAAAATTTTAACTCGCAGTGTGTGTATGTGCGCATTTCCAGTAATAATGGCTTATAAACATACGAAAAAATGTTGAACTTAAAATGTTAAAATTAACCCTCTTTTCTATGGATCTTTCATTCTATATACTATATACAAATATAAAATCTCAAGAATGTAGGTTTATTTTAGACAAATAATAAATGATAATTGAAAACTATAATTTGGAAATACAATCAAATTTTCCATTTAAATTTTACGATTGCTTATACGATTTTACAAATATTTTCCATTAACAAAACTTGAATAGTGGACTTCAAAGTCCTGTTAAGTGAAAATTCTGCTGTGTGTGAACAAAAAGTAAAATTAATTTAGACATTAGAAGTACCAGCGTTGCAATCTATAATGGATACATTTGCTTTGTAGATCGACAAATATTTGAGTGTGAGCAAACGAATGGAACTATCGAAATCCCTAAATTTGACAGAAGTACAAATAAAAACATGGTTTCAAAATCGTCGTACCAAGTGGAAGAAACAACTTACTTCCAGACTGAAGATTGCCCAAAGGCAAGGGCTTTTCCCACCCCCTTACTTCCCACCAGCTCAATATTCTTTATTACCATACTATACTACGCCACTTGTGTTTGGAACTCCAGCGTCAGATGACGCCAATATTAACGCAATGGCGATACCATCACGACCTGTGGCATCATCGCCAGATACAGTTTGAACAAATATCGATTTGAACTACTTAGCCGACATGAGAGAAGCACGAGTCAAGTACAATGTACCTCATCTATGATGTGATCGAGACTCATTATCAGTTCCTTAATTCAACATACTTATTGTTAAATGATTTCATACAAAAGGCATGCTCGACACCTAACGTATATATTTTTCTTTCCAATAGTTCTACTAGCTGATTGAACAAGTGTAAAATACAAACTTATGTTACCAGAAATGCATCATATGATAAAATTTTGTGTACATAAATTACAACTACAATAAACAAAAATCAAAAGGAACCTTTGCTTTCCACAAGGTATAATGTGTCATCTATTGAATGTTTAATAAAACAAAAATTACAAATAAAAAGAAAAAGAAAGATTAAATCACTGAACATAAAAAAATTTCTTGGAAATCAAAGTTTATTTATATTATAAAAAGTATAGAAAGACTTATTTTATAATAATGATTAAATGCAAAGTAGATAACTCTTATACCTTAAGATATTTGCTTCAGCTTGTGTAATAAATATTCTCGAATAATTTGAATTTTTTGACTATATTTTTTAAATATATAAACTGCTGTCGAATAACACGTACAAGCGGGCACAAGATGATTTCTTATGAAACAATAGAATAAATACAAATAAATAAATTTTTTTATTTGAATTCTTGCTTTTGAAAAAACCAAGTTTGAAAATTTAACAAAACATATTCAAAGTTTATTTTCTTGAAAATGAAACTTTAAATGAAAAATTCCACGCTTTTTACTTATTTTTGCATATAGAATTATCTTTTGTTAATTATTATTTTCTGTTACGTCTAGAGTGAGCTAAATTCAAGTATAGCTGATAAATTTTCAATTCTTGAGGCAAAACCTCAAATAGAAAAATTTTTATTTTACATCCTTTTTATTTTTTTATAAAAAATTATCCTGTGACCGCTTATGCATATTATTCGACTAAACTCTGTAATAAAATATATCTATAAATATATAATTTAAAAAAAATATTCAACCATTGAACAGAAGATTCACGACTATTTTTTTTTAATATAATTTTTCATGTTGTGTAGTTTTATACAGGGTGTTTCCTGTAATACAGTGATATCTCATAATGAATAGATCTATCAAAGAAATGTTTTTACAAAGGAGTGCAAAGAAATGCATTGTGCGATGTAAATTTTTTGTGTAGATGAAACTGTGGGTGATATTCAATCAAAGTCAAGTTCATTTTCAAAATAGGATCATATAATTTTAAATACATTAATCGATTGTAATCTGGGCATTCTCTGTAAAAAGGCATTGACCCAAAAGCTATTGGTTTAGGAGATAGTTTAGCTATAATTTTATAAAGCCTATTGTATGAAAGACAAGAACACAAAAATATTATTCATATCTATCTTTGTCTTTTACATATGTGTATACATACATATGTTTATAATTATATACACATAATATATATGTTATATATACCATCAAAAAAAAATTCTATAAAAGAAAATAGATAAAGATCTTTGATTCAAAAATTTAAAAATTTTTTTATACTTTATGTGTATCTACAAATTTAAATTTAACAAATTGACGTATTACACAAAATTAGTCTTATAAATTTATCGCGATAAATTATTGGCATGACAATAAAAATGATGTTAAATAAGTATATCGAGAATCATTTAAATAGTTTAACAATTTATAAAAAATATTTTCGTCATAAAGTTTTCATTATTATTCAAGTACCAAAATTTCTTTCAAATAATAAAGCATTATCATTTAATACACGAATATATTGTAATAGTAAAAGTAATAGTAATAGTAAAATTGTAAATAGTACCATCTTATTTACGTAGGTGTCCGTTCATGCGGAAACACGATTTTTTTAAATATTTTCATTAACAATGTGCTAATTATAGATGTGCATTTACACAATATGAAACTGACCATTTTTTTTATTTTGAATAAAACATTTAGTCGTTTGTGAGTTAAGTAAAATAATTTTTTTATCATTTCACGTTACATTAACATTGGTTACACAGTCGGCCCCACGCCTTGCCCTACATTGTGGTATATTATTATGTCTCATCGATTTATCTGTCTCGCAAGCAACAGTCCGCACTTTTGGATACACGGGGAATTTTAGTTTTGGTATTATATTGAAATTTTTAAGTTTCAATTTCGGCCTTAATTTTTTACTCTTTTTTTTATCAGATAGAGTGCCAATGTCGCGCGTTCTTACCTTAACAGACGACTGTACAGTTCTAACTTGCATAGTTGGACTGCAACTTTTGTCACAGGTTAACATTTCTTTGGTAGAAACTTGTATAGACATATGGAATTTTCCCACTTTGGACATTGCTGCCGCGATTGCCATCGTATTTTGAGCGCATAGGTAACAACAGCTTTTCGTGAAATCTATACCTACATCAGGAGTACGATCTTTGACTAATTCCTCTTTCCGATACGGTAGAAACGCTGATTCTGGAACAACCTCTTTTTCCTTTCTCTTCTTTTTCCTTTTCTTCTCTTTAGCTTTCTTTTTATCTGCCATGTCGTCAAATTTTTCATCTTCCTCTTCTTCGAATTCTCTTTCGAAGATTGGAGTTTCTCGTCTCAAAATTTCTCCAACTTCGCTTTCGTATTGTACCGGTGCTTCACGAAAAGTAGTCTTTTTCTTTCTTTCCTTACGATCCTTACATTTTCCCTTAATATCCTTAAAGAAATCTGACGTAGATTTGTGTACTTTGGTTAACTTTGCTTTTTTCTTTCCGCAACATTGAGCGCACCATTGATAAATCCTCTTTGCTATATTATCAAGGTGTTTTCTGACCGTAGATTTTGAATTGGAGTTGATAGCTTGGATTTTTTGATTTTCTCTTTCCCCTCTTCTTTCTGTTTCTCGAATTCTTCGAGAATTCGAGTCTCTCTCAGACGTTGGCTGTACTGTTACGAAACGAAATTAATAAATAGAACAGAATTATATTTTATGCAATAAATTTACTTGAATTGTATTCCGATGAATTTTTAAGGCTCTGTGTATTTTTAAAGTCATTTCTTTTTTTGTTATTCCGTCTGTTATGTTTGGGATATTGATTTATATTTGCAAATTTATTCTCTGACATTGCTATCGTTGAATTGTATAGAATATATACTTTTTCATATATTCAATTAATCTTAGCCTCACATGTTACATTTTAATTCAGAAGAATTATATCATGGATCAACGATTTATATTTAATATTAGTTGCAGACATGTATTATCAATAAAAAATTGTGTATTTCCTTTTAAATAGAGAATCTGCACATTTTTCATCCTACAGATATAGTTTCTGAAAAGATAATTTTATCAATGATAAAAGGTTAGCTTTTTATTTACCCTAGTATATTTGCAGCTATAAGATTATATACAAGTGACATTAATAATAAAACTACTTACCACAATTTTGCGCAGATGAACAATAAATTTCACATGATGAAAGATGATACTAAAATTTGGTCCATATTGGGATTTTGAAACTCCCGGGTACTCGAGTACTCGAAGAGTTGCCAATCATGTAAACGTAAAAGTTTCTAATTCTATATAAATTCGTGTATATTTTTACTCTTTGTACTTTAAAAATATTTCCACTGAATTATAAGCTTATTATTAATTATTATTTTATAAAATAACAAGATAGTTAATCTGTTCTGTACATTTATTTATATCCATTCTCCTTTAATATGATAAATTTTTGACAGCAGTAAAAACATCGAATGGTAACTTTGAAATTGTAACTGACATTGACGAAAAGATTTAAAGATTTAAAAATTTGTGTAAAACGCAGATGTAATATTTTACTTCCTCACTTTCGCGCAAATATATACGTACATTATTTTGCAAAATCGTCCCGTGATATTATTATGAAAAATATATTTCACAAAATAGAACAGTGTCAAATGAAACAAATACATTAATTTATTTATTTCATGCAATAAAGTAATATAAACAACGGCAATTTCAGCGTATTTCAATTTAAACTGAACGCGTAACACGGACTGAATCACGTCATGCGTGGTAATAGCATGCAAGATGGTAGTTTTGCCATAGGATGGTAACTATTGCACTCTAGCGGCGCAAGGGCGAACTAACAACGCGTAATGAACAGGATAGGGACGTGAGGGTCGCGGCGGTGGTAGGACTGTCAGTGGCAACGGTGGCGACTGGCCGATGTCGTGTGTGTGTTTTGTTGCTGATGCGATGCGTCAGCTAAATCTGAAATCATCTGGTAAAAGAGTGTGAGATAAAGAGCGGTCAGCTGTTACGACGGTTGCGAGACAGCGCGACCAAACGAACGAGAAGGGGAGTAAATCAGCAGCGAGAGATAGGAGAAACGAAGGGGCCGGAACGCACCGTGGAAACGGGAAAAAAGGTTACAAAGGGCGGATCGCCAGTGGCAAGGATCGCCCGCGTGCAAGTGATAACATTCGGTGGTAAACGATGGCGTAAGCTGATCAATTACAAGCCGAGACCGTGCCGTGTGGTCCTGTGTACTGTGGCCATCCGTCATATTCTCCGTTTCTCTAACAACGCGAGTAACGCTCGACTGCTCCCTAAAGTCGCGCGCGCCAATAACAGAACGCGTTCCTAATGTAACGTAACGTAAACGTCAGTGAAAATCTCATTGGATGTGTGCTGTGTGCTGTACCTAGTTGCTACGCAGGCTGAGTGAATATACTCGGGAGAATTGGTTGGCCCTTGATCACGGTGCATCGGCAAGATCCCTCGAGTGTAGACGGCGGCAACGTTCTCTCGGTTTGCATCGCGTTTCCTGTGTCGTCTCGTCGCGATCTCGTCTTGCCGACTACCATTCGAAGTCGCTTCTCGCTTCCTCGCGTTGTCGCGTTGTTGTTTTGTTTATTGTTGCACGCGTGTATATTCGCGAAGTGGTGTCAATATCTAGCCAAGGGCTTCTTACTGTGGAAGAGAATATGGTTACGATGATCAGTGATACGTGTGGATATGTTCTCTTTCTCCTGTTGCTGTTGCTGGTTCCTTATATCGAAAGTGGTAAGTGTAATGAAATTTACGTTACAATCTCGTCCGTACCTTCGTGGACGTAAAAATGACGATTCGTGCGTCCACGTTCCATCGTAACGATCGGCTTTCGTCAAAATTGAGATGCACCATCCCTGCGCTGCCTAATGTCTGACCCGACGTCATATGCATACGCGCCTATCTCCGCTCGCACATCTACACACACATGTGTATGTATATATGCGTGTATATGTATATGCGTCTACATCTCTCGTGAATCATCCTTTCGCGAACAGCGTGTCTCGCACATTTCTTTTCTCGGATTCTGCGAAAATTGTTTTTTTTTTCCCTGGAAACTTCTGTTTTTTAAATTAAGGCGAAATTGCTAACCCTGCGAGATCGTATTTGTACACTCCCGCTCAAAAATCTTAGGCTTTTATTTTTAATATTCGATTCTTATCGTATGTATATTTTACAATATATACAATATATGATATATATATATATATATAATATGTAAAAATGCACTATATTAATATATTAATAGAGTTTTTATTGCATTTATTGCAAAACTATTACACATTGTGTATGTAATTTATACTTTTATATTATGTAATTTATATTGTAAATATTTATTGTATATAATTTATAATTTATAATATTTATTGTACAGTCGTGTATTCGCTTATATGGTCGTGTATTGTTCTAGGATTTCTGAGCGGGAATGTATATATA